AAACAGACATATTTACAGATCAGGAATATTGAGATGATTATGTAAATGGAGAAATGCTGTGAGAACTGAATTTTCTCTGGTGGGGATTGGGGTTAGTCAACCAATTTCCACCAGACAGAACATAACATGCATCAATTATCTATAATTTTTTTAAGTGGTATAAAATACCTTAAATATAATGAACAAAGTCGAACTCAAAATCATGGTCTTCCAAATATGCTTCATTTTCCGTTAAAATGCAATTTTCTTTTTCTGCTTTTACCTCATCCTCTTCAGGAAGTAGAGTTCTGGGTAATATTATTCTTCTTTCTTTTTTTAAGACGAAATTTCACTCGTTGCCCAGGCTGGAGTGCAATGGTGGGATCTCAGCTCACTGCAACCTCTGCCTCCCAGGTTCAAGTGATTCTTTTGTCTCAGCCTCCTGAGTAGCTGCGATTACAGGCACCTGCCACCATGCCCAGCTAATTTTTGTATTTTTAGTAGAGTTGGGGTTTCACCATGTTGGCCACGCTGGTCTCAAACTCCTGACCTCAGGTGGTCCTCCTGCCTTGGCCCCCCAAAGGGCTGAGATTACAGGTGTGAGCCACTGCACCTGGCCAAAAATACCCTTTAAAAAGGAGAGGAGAAAAGGTTACTTTCCCTTTTGGCAAATAAGACAAATTTAATATAATTCTTTTTTTCTTTTTAGAAAATCCATACCGTGAGGGCCAGACACTGTGGCTCACATCTGTAGTTTCACCACCTTGGGAGGCTGAGGCGGGCAGACTGCTTGAGCCCAGGAGTTTGAGACCACCCTGGGTAACATAGGAAAACCCGGTCTCTACTACAAATACAAAAATTAGCTGGGCATTGTGGTGTATCCTTTTGTCCCAGTTAATCTGGAGGCTGAGGCACAAGAACCGCTTGAACGTAAGAGGCAGAGGTGCAGTGAACTGAGATGGTGCCACAGCACTCCAGCCTGGGCAACAGAGAGAGACAAATAAGACAAAGTTAAAATTTGGGAAGAAAGAAGGAAGGGAGGGAGGGAGGGAGAAAGAAGAGGAAGGGAAAAACAGAGGAAGGAAATCCATGCAGTCCAAATAGCAATAACCAAGAAGTTTGTAAAAGTAAAATAAATATGTTTCTACATATAATATTGCAGGCCAGGCACAGTGGCTCACACCTGTAATCCCAACACTTTGGAAGGCAGAGGTGAGTGGATCTCCTGAGGTCAAGAGATCGAGACCATCCTGGCCAACATGGTGAACTCCTGTCTCTATTAAAAAAAAAAAAAAAAAGTAGCCAGATGCAGTGGCACACACCTGTAATCCCAGCTACTCAGGAGGCTGAGGCAGCAGAATGGCTTGAACCTGGGAGGTGGAGGTTGCAGTGAGATCGCACCATTGCACTCCAGCCTTGGAGATGGAGGCTGCAGTGAGCTATGATCTCACCACTGCACTCCAGCTTGGGGGACAGGGCAAGTCTCTGTTCCCCAAAGATAAAATAAATAGAATATATTGCCAAAATCCTGCCTTCTACAGGCATCTAGTCTAATGGGACTGGGAGAAATCAGGGCAAATAACCTCATCCCAATGTACATTATAATAGGATGTCACTGGTGTGCTATGGGCATGCAGAGGTGGGAAGATGAGGGAAGGCATCACAGAGGCTGTGGGGTGAACTGATGTCAAGAAATGGGTGTTTCCCTTCAGAACCACACATGTGCAGGACTCAGACAGAAAACACACATGCAAAGTCAAGTGGTGGGCATTTCGAAGGAGTAGTGAAACCAGGCCAGGAAACACCAGGATGGTTAGCCGGTTTGGCTGTAGAGAGGGTGGAATTGGCACTGTGGACCTGGCCTCGATTTCAAAAGACATCAGCTAGTGAAGCTGTTCAGGTGGGCAGTGGGGGTTCAGAACTGTGCCGCTTTGGAGAGACGTTCGGGCGGCACTAGGAAGCCCCCTGGCTTGGGGACAGGCTCCACGAGACTCCAGCAGGGAGCATTTGACAGTGGATTCCAGTGATGCGATGGAGACCTGAATTATTATTTATTTCGAAACTCTGCCTCTAAATGAATAAACAAATAAAGCAGACGGGATAATGAGCACAATATATTTTACCGTAAAAATGAACTCTCAAAGAATACATGAATGACAGATCCATTATGCCATTCTTACACAAATCCCAAAAGGATTTTTAAAAGAAAATGACAATGTAAAATACTGTGAACAAACACACCTGAAAGGTATGTCCTCTTAAAGACAGGCAAAAATTAAACCCCATGGAATCCAGTAGTACATTTTCCCTGGGGATGAGCATAGATTTGCATGGATACATTTGCAAGGAATGTCTGTGTGCCTGGCAAGTTAGGTAACCTTTCTCTGATGTCATTTTCTCGTCTGTCCTTAAACACTCATATTCTAGGTCATGGTTAGGTGATGACTGCTGTTCACCTCTCCAGACTCAGCACCCGTCACTGCCACATGGATGGTGTGGGAAACACCTGACCCTGCCCTGGTGCCTCCTGGAGCCAAAAGGACATTCCCTTTCTCCCCTGCCAGGAAGCTCAGCACATTGCTGCAGGGGTGTTGGGTGCTGTGGGCCAGAATGGAACCGAGTCCAAATCATTCTGCTCACTGCACTGCCTCCAAAAAATCTAGAGAAAGAAAAGTGACTTCATTTTGGAGAGCCAGCAAACCAAGAACATGATAGGTGGATGTCCTACCTAGCCATCTTAAAAAACATGAATCTCAGGCAGACAGATCACAAGATTTGGAGTTCGAGAGCAGCCTGGACAACATGGGGAAACCAAGTCTCTACTAAAAAAACAAAAATTAGCTAGGCATGGTGGCCCACACCTGTAATTCCAGCTACTTAGGAGGCTGAGGCAGGAGAATCGCTTGAACCGGGGATGGGGAGGTTGCAGTGAGCAGAGATTATGCCACTGCACCACTGTACTCCAGCCTGGGTAAAAGAGCAAGACTTCATCTCAAAACAAACAAACCACCCTCCCCTCCCCCCCAAAAAAATCAGGCATTAATATAGAGGCCAGGGGTGGAGGCCTGTAATCCCAACATTTTGGGAGGCCAAACTGGGAGGATTATGTGAGCACATTAGTCTTGAGACCAGCCTGGGCAACATGGAGGAACCTTGCCTCTACCAAAAACAAAACAAAACAAAACTTAGCTGGGCGCAGTGGCGTGTACCTGTGGTCCCAGCTACTCGGGAGGCGTAGGCAGGAGGATCACTTGAGTCTGAGAGGCAGAAGTTGCAGTGACCTTTGATCACACCATTGTATTCTAGCCTGAGTGATAGAGCCAGAAAAAAATAAAAATAACCTTTAAAAAAAGGCGTGAATCTCAAGTATCCTTTGATATTGGGGAAAGGGGAACAAAGAGAGGGCTGAGGTTAGGAGGCAGTTGGTCACCACAGACAGCTGGGTGTTGGCGGGAATCTGGGTTTTCGTGGGAATCCAAGGAGGTTGCCAAACTTTTTTTTCTTTTTGAGATGGAGTTTTGCTCTTGCCGCCAAAGGCTGGTGTACAATGGTGGCACAAGCTCAGCCCACCGCAACCTCTACTTCCCAGGTTCAAGTGATTCTCCTCCCTCAGCCTCCTGAGTAGCTGGGATCATAGGCTACCACCACCACACCAAGCTAATTTTTGTATTTTTACTAGAGACACGGTTTCACAATGTTGTCAGGGTGGTCTTGAATTCCTGACCTCGGCCTCCAAGAGCTGGGATTTAAGGCTGCTGCTGCCTGGCGGAAGGCTGCTAAACTTCTTTATCCTTGGTCAGGTCACAAAGGTCCTCTACATCTTTAACACAACCTTGTTTTTATTGTTTGTTTGTTTTTAAGACAGAGTCTCACTCTGTCACCAGACTGGAATGCAGTGGTGGCAGGATCTCAGCTCACTGCAACCTCCGTCTCCCAGGTTCAAGTTATTCTCCTGCCACAGCCGCCCAAGTAGCTGTGACTACAGGCGCACGCCACCATGCCCAGCTAATTTTGTATTTTTGGTACAGACAGGGTTTCATCATCTTGGGCTGGATGGTCTCGTGATAGGCCTGCCTCAGTCTCCCAGAGTGCTGGGATTAGAGGCGTGAGCTGGGACAGGGAACAGAGGGATGCGGAGACCGTGAAGATGCTTTTGGATAATGGTCTGAGGTTGGGACAGTGGCAGGAGACACCACTGACCACAGGAGATCCAGACACTATTGACCCTGGATCTCCAGGAAAAGAGACCAGCCTGGCAGTTACATGTGTTGTTCTTCAAACTAGTTGCCCAGTTGGAATGACCGATGACATAAGAGTTCCAACCTTCCTGATTGGACCACACTCAGTGGGTGCTCGGAAACCCAGGTACACAACAGTATCTTCTCAGAGCGGTTCTCCACTCCTGACTTCTCCCCAGCCTTGAGAATAGATAACGCACTTTTACTGGTCCTGATAAGAGTTTGGAAGAAGGCTTTGGACAGAACAGAAAACAGGTTCCGTAAGAGGGAACACAGTTTGGGCGACACCATGGCCAGCTGTCAACTGCAGCCGCAGCTTGAGGAGAGGAGCCCCCAGCCTAGCACCTCGGGGTACTCCATCCTGGAAGTGACAGATGATGAAGTGCCAGGACCATCAGGTGAGGGGACTGGAGGAAGAAGAGATGGGAGAGGATTGACTAAGAAGAAGGAAGGGGGCTGGGCGAGGTGGCTCACACCTATAATACCAACATTATGGGAAGATGAGGCGGGTGGATCACCTGAGGTCAGGAGTCAGAGATAAGCCTGGCCAGTATGGCGAAACCTTGTCTCTACTAAAATACAAACATTAGCTGAATGGTAGTGGAGTACAATGGTGCGATCTCGACTCACTGCAACCTCCGCCTCCTGGGTTCAGGCAATTCTCCGGCCTCATCCTCCGGAGTAGCTGGGATTACAGGCACGAATCACCATGTCCAGCTAATTATTTGTATTTTTAGTAGAGACGGGGTTTTACCATGTTGACCAGGATGGTCTTGATCTCTTGACCTCATGATCCACCCGCCTCGGCCTCTCAAAGTGCTGGGATTACAGGCTTGAGACACCGCAGCCGGCCTGACCCTGTTTCAAAAAAAAAAAGGGCCCACAAGTCAGGAAGAAGCTCCTGAGGAGGGTGTGTGAAAAGAAAGGAGGGACTCAGGCCAGGCCCAGTGGCTCACACCTCTAATCCCAGCATGCTGGGGAGCTGAGGCAGGCGGATCACTTAAAAACAGGAGTTTGAGACAGCCTGGCCAACATCTTAAAATCCGGTCTCTACAAAAAATACAAAAACAATCTAGGTGTTATAGTGGGCATCTGTAAGCCAAGCTACTTGGGAGACTGAGGCAGGAGAATCACTGAAACCCAGGAGATGAAGGCTGCAGTGAGCTAAAAAGGCACCACTACACTCCTGCTTGGGTGACAAAGCAAGACTCTGTTTTAAAAAAAAAAAATGAGGGACTCAGAGAGCCAGGGACCAGGGAAGGAAATGAGGAAGCATTCTGAGGAGAAATGGAAGAATGGGGAGGAGGAGAGGCACATGGGGTTCGGCAAGGGAGAAGCCAGCAGCCTGAGGGGCTGGGAGGATGGAGAGCGGTTTGGGGTTTTGGGTCAGGGTCTAAGGTGATCAACTGCAGAATCATTAATTACACGGTGGCCTGCTTTCTTTACTCAGTCCCTTGGGTAGATCCCGGCACCCCGAGTAAGTTCCTTTACTGGAACATGAAGAGGGAGTGGTTGGACAAATCTGAGGAGGAGCCCAAGGAGGAGACAGAGAAGAAGCCTGAGGAGACCTGGGTGCTAGACACCCTGTGTGGGCTCAAGATGAAGTTAAAGCGAGAGTGTGTGTCACCCGTGCTCCCTGAGCACTACAAGGCTTTCAACAGGCTGCCTGGTAAGAGGACACCCCAGAGAGCACCTCCAATCCTGTTCTTTTAAAAAAGAAGCTTCCCATAACTATACTTGTCACATGGGAAAAATATGCCCCACAGTGGGTGAGCTCTCCATGCAGGAGGACTTGACATTCCTAAGCTTCACTTATAAGGTATGCTTAGCAGGCCATAGAGGACTCGGCTAGACTTGATAAGGTTCTGTGATTGGGATAAGAAAGTTTGGTTTCAGGCTAGGCGTTGTGGCTCATGCCTGAGATCCCAGCACATTGGGAGACTGAGGCAAGAGCATCGCTTGAACTCAGGACTTGGAGGCTGCAATGAGCTGTGACTGCACCACTGCACTCCAGCTTGCATGACAGTACAAAACCCTGTCTCACAAGAACAACAAAGGCCAGGCAAGGTAGCTCATGCCTGTAATCCCAGCACTTTGGGAGGCCAAGGTGGGTAGATCACCTGAGGTCAGGAGTTGGAGACCAGCCTGACCAACATGGTGAAACCCTGTCTCTACTCAACATAAAAAATTAGACAGCTGTGGTGGCGCAAGCCTATAATCGTAGCTACTCGGGAGGCTGAGGCAGGAGAATCACTTCAACCAGGGAGGCAGAGGCTGCAAATGAGCCAACATGGCACCACTGCATTCCAGCCTGGGTGACAAAGTGAGACTGTCTCCAAAATTAAATAAAAATAAAAATTAAATTAAAAAAAAAACACAGAAAGCAGTTTAAGCTGTGCACACTTAATGTCTCTTGCTGACTTTATTTGCTTTTTAGAGACAGAGTCTTGCCCTATCACCCAAGCTGGACTGCAATGGCGTGATCTTGACTCACTACAACCTCCGCCTCCTGGATAAGCAATTATCCTGCCTAAGCTTCCCGAGTAGCTGGGATTACAAGCCAGGATCACACCATGCCTGCTAATTTTTTATATTTTTAGTAGAGACGAGGTTTCACTGTGGTAGCCAGAATGGCCTTGAACTCCTGACCTCATGCTCGCCTCGACATCCAAAAGTGCTGGGATTACAGACATGGGCCACCATACCCACCTAATATGTTTGTCTTCAAACGGGATGCCAGGTTGGAATAACCAGTGACATGAGAGATTCCATTCTTCCTGATTGGACTGAACTTTGTTGGCGCTTGGGAGCTCAGGTGGATGATAGCATCTTCTCAGAGCTGTTCTCCACTCCCGACTGCTACCCAGCCTTGAGAATACGAAATGCACTCTTCTGGGTCCTAGTCGAGTCTGGAAGAAGGCTTTGGATAGAACAGGAACTAGGTTCCATGGGAGGGAACAGAGTTTGGGAGAGATCATGGCTAGATGTCAACCGCAGCCACAGGTTGAGGAGAGGAGCCCCCAGCCTAGCACCTTGAGGTGCTCCCTGTTGGAGGTGGTAGAAGATGAAGTGCCAGGACCATCAGGCGAGGGGACTGGAGGAAGAAAAGATGGGAGAGGATTGACTAAGAAGAAGGAAGGGGGCCGGGCACAGTGGCTCACACCTGTAATCCCAGCACTTTGGGAAGCTGAGGTAGGTAGATCACCTGAGGTCAGGAGTTTGAATCCAGCACGGCCAACACGATGGAACCCTATCTCTTCTAAAAATACAAACATAATCCTGGTAATACTGCTGCACATCTGTAATCCCAGCTACTCAGGAGGCTGAGGCAGGAGAAGCGCTTAAGTCTGGAAGGCGGAGGTTCCAGTGAGCTGAGAGGAGAGACACATGGGGTTCATCAAGGGAGAAAGATGGACAAATGGCTCACAGAAGCCAACAGTCTGCGGGGCTGGGGAGGATGGAGAGTGCATTGGGGTTTTGGGTCAGGGTCTAAGGTGATCAATTGCAGAAGTATTACACAGTGACCTGCTTTCTTTACTCATCTCCTTGGGTAGATTCCAGCCCGCCTAGTTTCCTTTCTTGGCAAAAGAAGAGGGACTGGTCGGACGAATCGGAGGAGGAGCTGGAGGAGAAGACAGAGAAGGAGTGCACCCCTGAGCCTGAGGAGACCCCGGTGCTAGACACCCTGTGTGGGCTCAAGATGAGAATAAAGAGACGGCGAGTGTCACCCGTGCTGCCTGGTAGGAGGACACCCCAGAAAGCACCTCCAATCCTGTTCTTGTAAAAAAGAGGACAGTTTCCATAACCATGCTTTCTCAATGAGAAATGCACCCCAGTGGGTAAGCTTTCCATGTGGGAGGACTCAGAGGATCCAAAGCATCACTACTGAGGGACACTTGGGAGGCCACAGATGATTTGACTAGACTTGATAAAGGTCAGTGATAGGGATAAGAAAGCTTGCTTTCAGGCCAGGCATGGTGGCTCATGCCTGAGATCCCAGCATATTGGGAGGCTGTGGCAAGAACATCACTTGAACTCAGGACTTTGAGGCTGCAGTGAGCTATGGCTGCACCACTGCACTCCAGCCTGGGTGACAGAGCAAAACCCTGTCTCAGAAGAAAAACCAAGTCCAGGTGCAGAAGCTCATGCCTGTAATCCCAGCACTTTGATAGGCCAAGGTGGGTAGATTATCTGAGGTCAGGAATTCGAGACCAGCCTGACTACCATGGTGAAACCCAGTCTCTACTGAAAACACAAAATGAGATGGGCATGGTGGTGCATGCCTGTGTTCCCAGCTACTCAGAAGGCTGAGACAAGAGAATTGCTTAAACCCAGGAGGCAGAAGTTGCAAGTGAGCCAAGATTGCGCCACTGCATTCTATCCTGAGCATCAGAGTGAGAGTCTGTCTCCAAAAAATAAATAACAATAAAAGAAAGGAAAACAAAATCAAAAAAATAAAGAAAGCAGTTTAGCTGTCCTGAAACTTAATGTCCCTTGATGACTTTTCTCATTCATTCATTTGAGAAGGAGCCTGCCCTATCGCCCAGGCTAGAGTGCAATGGCGCAATCTCGGCTCACTGCAACCTCTGCCTCCCAGGTGGAAGCGATTCTTCTGCCTCAGCCTCTCGAATGGCTGGGATTAAAGGACAGCACCACCATGCCTGGCTAATTTTTTGTATTTTTAGTAGAGATGAGGTTTCACTGTGTTAGCCAGGATGGTCTCCAACTCCTGACCTCATGATCTCCCTTCCTCGGCTTCCCAAAGTGCTGGGATGACAGGTGTGAGCCACCGTGCCTCACCTCTATGTTTTTCTTCAAACAGTTGGCCAGGTTGGAATGACCAAACACATCTGCAATTCCAAACTTCCTGACTGGAAGGACTGACCTCCGTGGGTGCTTGGGAGCTCAGGTGGACAACAGCATCTTCTCAGAGCTGTTTTCCATACCCGACTTCTCCCCAGCCTTGAGACTAGACAATGCCCTCCTCAGGGTCCTAGTACAGACTGGATGAAGGCTTTGAACAGAACGGGGTCCAGGTTTCATGGGAGGGAACAGAGTTTGGAAGAGATCATGGCCAGCTGTCAACCTCAGCCCCAGGTTGAGGAGAGGAGCCCCCCAGCCTAGCACCTTAGGGTACTCCTCCCGGAGGTGGTGGACAACGAAGTGCCAGGACCATCAGGCGAGGGGACTGGAGGAAGGAGAGATGGCAGAGGATTGACCAAGAAGAAGAGAGGGGGCTGGGCACGATGGCTTCTGCTTGTAATCCCAGCATTTTGGGAGGTCATGGCAGTTGGATCACCTGAGGTCAAGAGTTCGAGATGAGTCTGCCAAAACGGTGAAACCCTGTCTCTACTAAAATAACAAAAATTACCCAGGCAGTATTGGTGCATGCCTGTAATCCTAGCTACTTGGAAGGCTGAGGCAGGAGAATTCTTGAGCCTGGGAAGCAGAGGTTATGGTGAACTGAGATTGCATCTCGGCATTCCAGTCTAGTTGAGAGAGTGGGACGCTGTCTCCAAAAAAAAAAAAAAAAAGAAGAAGAAAAAGAAAGGAAGAAAGAAAGACCCAAGAGTCAGGAAGGAAGGAACATCTGAGGGAGTGTGTGGGGGAAGAAAAAAGGGACTACGGCTGGGTGGAGTGGCCCACACCTGTAACCCCAGGACTTTGGGAAGCCAAGGCAGAAGGATCACTTCTGCCTTGAGTACTCCTTGAGGCCAGGAGTATGAGACCAGCCTGGCCAACATGGTAAAACCCCGTCTCTACTAAAAGCACAAAAATGAGCCAGGTGTTATGGTGGGCACCTGTAATCCCAGCTACTTGGGAGGCTGAAGAATCACTGGAACCCTGGAGACGGAGGTTGCAGCAAGAGGAGACTACACCACAACAATTGGCCATGGAGCCTGGGTGGCAAAGCAAGACGGTCTCAAAAAAAAAAAAAAAAAAAGGTTGGCCCAGAGAGCCAGGGACCAGAGAAGGAAATGAAGTGTTCTGAGGACAGAGAGATGAAAAATGAAGAAGAGGAGAAGAGGCACATGGGGTTCAGCAAGGGAAAGTCAAGAGTCTGCGGGGCTGGGGAGGGTGGAGAGTGCTTTGGGGTTTTGGGTCAGGGTCTATGGTGATCAATTGCAGAAGCATTAGGAGATGGCCTGCTTTCCCGTAATGGATCCTTTGCTGTAAAAGGAAGAGGGAGTGGTCAGATGAATCTGAGGAGGATCCCGAGGAGGAGACAGAGAAGGAGTGCACCCCCCCCAAGCCTGAGGAGACCTGGGTGCTGGAGACACTTCAGGGGCTCAAAATGAAAATGAAGTGAAGACGAGTGTCACCCGTGCTCCCTGAGCACCACCAGGCCTTCAACAGGCTGCTTGGTAGCAGGACACCCCAGAAAGCACCACCAATCCCGTTCTTTCAAAAAAGAGACACTGTGTGTCAGCGGTGAGGGCATCCTGGCTTCTTCCCAGCTCTCTAGCCAGTAGATTCTCACACCCAGGTCCTCCTTCAGCCTCTTCTCAGGGCAGTCTCAGAGTGGGAGCCTCTCTCCCTTGCCCAGTGAAAGTCATTCTCTCCTCTCCCATCCACGTTACCCGAGGCCACTATCCTGAGACTTTTCCCAGGGAGGCACAGTTCTCCTGGCTGCCCTGTTTCTCCCATAGAAACTCCTTTCTGCTTCTCATGCTAACATCTGCTCTCTAATCACAGAGGATCCTATCGTGAAAAGATTCCTGGCCTGGGACAAAGATCTGAGGGTATCCAACAAGATAAGGTCTTTCTCCACGAAACTGTGTTCCTGTTCCAACACAGAGCCTGGGGGAGGGCACAGCTTCCACACCCACAGTTTCCTACCCCTCTTCTCCACCAGCTCCCACCCGATGCTCCACAGTCTTATTTTATTCTGAGACAGAGTTTTGCTCTGTTGCCCAGGCTGGAGGGCAGTGTCTCCATCTCGGCTCAATGCAGACTCCCACTCCAGAATTCAAGCTCCCACCTCAGCCTCCTGATTATCTCAGACTATAGGGCTGTGCTATCACACTTGGACAATTACTTACATATTTATTAAATTTTGTACATATACATATATATATGTATGTATATATATATGTATGTGTATATATATATGTGTATGTATATATGTACGTATGTATATATATGTATGTATATATGTATATATATATATATGTATGTATATATATATGTATGTATATATGTGTATATATATATATATATAATTTTTGAGATGGAGCCTTGCTCTGTCAACCAGGTTGGAGTACAATGGCACCAACTTGGCTCACTGCAACCTCTGCCTCCCAGGTTCAAGTAATTCTCTTGCCTCAGCTTTCTGAGTAGCTGGGACTACAGGCCCATGCCATGACGCCCAGCTAATGTTTTGTATTTTTAGTAGACATGACGGTGTTTCGCTGTGCTAACCAGGGTGGTCTCAATCGCCTGACCTGGTGATCCACCCGCCTCAGCCTCCCAAATTGCTGGAATTACAGGCATGAGCCACCATTCCCATCCTATTTATTTATTGAGAGAGAGTCTCGCTCTGTCTCCCAGGCTACAATGCAGCAGACCTATCTCAGCTCACTACAACCTCAGCCTCCTGGGTTCATGTAATTCTTGTGCCTCAGCCTCTGGAGTAGCTAGGACTAAGGTGTGTGCCACCACACCAGGAAATTTTCATATTTTTAGTAGAGATGGGGTTTCGCCATGTTCAACAGGTTGGTCTCAAACTCCTGGCCTCAAGTCATCCACCCACTTCAGCCTCCCAAAGTGCTGGGATTCCAGGCCTGAGCCACCACTCTTGGCCACCAGTTGGCTTTTTGTCTCCATCCCGAAGGTGTGAGGGGCGCCCTTCAGTAGACATCTGTCCAGCAGGGCCCTCCTGAGGAAGGCATGGCTCTCTGCAGGGTGGGTGCCAGTCCTGAGCTAAGGTCCTCCGCCCTCCTCTCTGGGAAGCTGACCTCAGCCAGAGGACTTTCCCGGTGGTGCCCCTGAGCAGCAGTCTGATTTCTGCCCCCAGCTACCTGGCCAGTGACATGGAGGAGGACAGCCAGGGCCCCAAACAAGCCATCTTCAACTTTCTGTATGGGAAGGACCGCTCCCAGCGATGCTTATTCCAGAAGCTTCAGTTCCAGTTCTTCTGTTCCATGCGCTGCAGGGCTTGAGTTTCCCTGGAGGAGCTGAAAGAGGTGGGTGCGCTATGGGGAGATGGGGAGGCATCAGGAGGTTGGAGGCTGGAAGAGGGGATGGAGGGGTATCCTGGAGGGTCCCCATGTTCTCAAGGGGCGTTTGTTATTGCAGATCCAGGCTTATGACCCAGAGCACTGGGTATGGGCACGAAATCGTGCCCTCTTTTCTTAGAGCTACAGGACCGTGGAGGCCTGAGGTCATCGGCCTGAGAGAAGGTATGTCTGCATCCCCCGGAGTCAAGGCAGAATTTTGTGTCTATTTAGAAAATCCAAGGAACTCAATTGCTTGATGTAGCTTCAAGCATGGGCAACTTGGCGAGATTCACTCTCCACAAAAATTCACAAATTAGCTGGATGATATGGGAGGCATCTCTATTCCCAACTACTCGGGAGGTTGAGGAGGGAGGATCGCTGAAGCCTGGGACACTGGGGCTGAGGGAGAGACCTGATCCTGCCACTGTACTCCATCCAGCCTGGTTGACACAGTGAGACCCTGTCTCAAAATTCATCAGAAATACTGAGTTCCAGGAAGTTCATTAGGATTGACACATTTGAATTACCTATGTGGGTCAAGGATTCAGTGAAGATTCGGTTTACATCTTGTGCAGCTAACCACGTTGAGGACTCAGCATGAGACTTCAACATTAGGAAGTAGGACTATGGATTAGGCTCCGGGACTCCTGGTTTGTGATGTTGTCACATTAGAAACGTATCTAGCGTGGTTAGCAGTTTAGATCTTAAGTGACATGAAAAGCCCCACATGTGATGAAGTCTAAAGCCACATTGTCTGAGGGTTCCTTACTCCCTGGGCAGACCGACTCGAAGTCCTGGCAAGGAAATAGATAACTGGGGATGGCCTTGGGTGTAATAAGTGAGTTTTGGAGTCAGGGTCACCAAAGTGTGCGTATCACAATTGAACAGCACGGTTCAGAAGCAGGCTAGAGAATGAAGGGCAGGAGATGAAACTGGATTGATCAATTGCTCTGAACTCTAGTTAGAATTGACATGGGACGTGAATGACCTTCCTAGAGAACTGCTTCCTTGAAACCTGACCACCTCTCTCACTTCCAGAAAACCAGGCCCAGGGGAAATGCAGATTTTCAGCATGAAGTTGATTCCAATGCTAATGACAGACACCAGGAAAAAGGAGAGGAGCCATTTCTGCAGATCATCTAGAAGAGCCTGGACTGTTCTAGAAGGAGCTGAATAAAGGACAATAGATTGCCCTTCCAGGAGTTGGGGGCGGGGAGACGGTACTTCTAGGAATCTGTGGAAGACAGTGAGAAACCAGGGGTGTTTCTGATTCCACTCCTTCCTGCAGCACCACCTCCCTTTTTATATTGCTGAGTTCCAGCCTCCCTGGGGTGGAACCTGGAGGTTCTGTTTCCTGTAAACTTGGTTGCCCCAGTCCAGGAGAATTTGAAGGCACAGTGCAGGGGCTCAGATTGGCACGGACTTATTTGTAAAATATGAGTGCCATAGGATTGTAACAGATAGCTTCATGCATATGCATTTTTGTGGTTTCTTTGTAAAATGTTGGCCATCAAATAATTAATATGTTTATTTCAAATAGTTTGGAAATTGTTGTACTTTTGAAAACATGCTGTTCCTGTAGAGTTTTTGATGAGAGTTACAGCTGTTATATATACATAAATATAATCTTCTTTTCATTTTTAAGAATTCTTTTCATCCTAAATCTTCTATTAAATTGTTTTATTATAATATGTGCTCCTGAAGGGAGCCTCTTTATCTATGATACTTACATGATAATCTATTGTATTTATAGCTATGTGGTAGTTCCCCTAAATTCTTGTGATACAAATTTTTATTCGCTGTTTAATGTTTGTTACTGAATTCTGAGTATTTAGTTGTGATTTTTAACATCTTAGATATATACTAATATGTCTAATATGTACTATACATTTAGTGGTTTATTTTGAAAAAGATGGGCACAGAATTATTACTACACTTATTTTAAATACTTTGGAAATACGGGTATTTTTTAATAGATGCTGTTCCTATAAAGTTGTGTGATAGGTGTTATAGCTGTTATATACACATAAATATAATTTTGGTTTCCTTTTTATGAGAGGATTCTTTTTATTCTAAATCTTTTATCTTTAAATCTTTGTATCTATTAATGCGTGTGGTACTGAAGCAAGCACTCTTTTTACCTATACTACTTAGTATATCTATTACATTTATCGCCATGTGATAGTTCCCATAAATTCAGGTAAAAATAAATTTTTATTTGATGTTAAGTGTATGTTTTTGAAATGTGAGAACTCAGACTTAATTTTTGCCTCGTATTGACATGTTTGTACGTTACCTTGAAGAGGATATGTGTTTTGAACAAGGCCATGAGCTGTGTGTTTTGAAGTAGGCCATGAGCTGTGTGTTTTCAAGGGAACAGTGCAGTGCATCTCTTGGGAAACCTAATAAACATGAAGTTTTCTCATCTTCACAGTAAGTGTGATCAGATTGCTCTGAATTGATATTTGCTGTCAAGTGACATTTTTCATTAACAGGGTTGTGGTTACTTGAATATATTTATTAGCTCTGAAGGATAATCCTGTTAGCTGGGCACAGTGGCGCATGCCTGTAATCTCAGCTTCTCAGGAGGCTGAGGCAGGAGAATTGCCTGAACCCAGGAGGCGGAGGTTGCGGTGAGCCGAGATCGCGCCATTGCACTCCAGCCTGGGTAACAAGAGCCAAACTCTGTCTCAAAAAAAAAAAAGAAAGAAAAAAACATAAGGCTGGGTGCAGTGCACACACCTATAATCCCAGCACTTTTGGGGGTCACAGTGGGAGGATCATCTGAGGCCAGGAGCTTGAGACCAGCCTGGGTAACATGGCATCTACATCTATTTTTTTTAAAGTTTTTTTTAAAAGGAATAAGGAGAAGAGAGGGCTGATCCCAAGCTAGAGTTTGTTTGGTTTTTTTGCTTTCCTTTTTGAGACAGAGTGTCACTCTGTCTCCCAGGTTGGAGTGCAGTGGCACAATCACAGCTCAGTGCAAACTCTACCTCCCAGGTCCAAGTGATTTTTCTGCCTCAACCTCCCTAGTAGCTAGAATTACAGTGTGTGCCACCACACGTGGCTATTTTTTGTACTTTTAGTAGAGGCAGGATTTCAACATGTTGGCCAGGCCGGTCTCGAACTCCTGACTTAAGGTGATATGCCCGCCTCAGCCTCCCAAAGTGATGGGAGTACAGGCATAGCCACTGTGTCCAGCCCAGCATGATACTTCCTTTTCTTGTGTGAGATGGAGTCTCACTCTGTCTCCTAGGCTGGAGTGCAGTGATGCTATCTTGGCTCGCTGCAACCTTTGCCTCCTGGGTTTAAGTGATTCTCCTGTCTCAGCTTCCTGAGTAGCTGGAACTACAGGCACATGCCACCATACCCAGCGAATTTTTTATTTTTATTTTTTTTTAGTAGAGACAGGGTTTCACCATGTTGGCCAGGATGATCTTGAACTCCTGACATCAGGTGACCCACCCACCTTTGCTTCCCAAAGTGCTGAGATTGCAGGTATGAGCCACTGTGCCTGGCCTGATACTTTCATTACAGTTTTATGTAAGAAAAACACTGGCAAAAGTTAAGACCAGCCAAAAGCAGAGACACAAAACGCAAACTCTGAGAGGGTGTCAAAGATGCCCTCTCTGTGTCCTAAGGACGCCCCATCCTCTCAGCACACTGATGTGTGTCACCAGCCAAGGAAGCTCCCCTGGGCTTCCACATCCAGGGCTTTTATTACAGTGGCCGGGTTGATTCAGTCACTGGCCAGGCAGCTCAGTCCATCTCTAGCCCCCTAGTTCCTTTCTGGGAGTCGGGCTGACACCATGTGGCTTGAAGTCACAACCTTCAAATCACATGGTTGGTCATCTGGTATGTGTGACCCCTTGCCAAGCCATCTGGTTGGCATGAACTCAGGTGTAACCCTGGGGAGCCACTGTGAGTAACAGACATGCCTATCACCCAGGAAATTCCAAGGACATATAGTCTCTCCAGCAATCAGAGACAAAGACTGAAACAACTGGGAATAAGCGGGGAAGTGTCAGACAGCAGAGAAACACATAAACTCCTTTCCATATGTGTGTATAATGTATATAAAATATATATTCAATATAGTACTATATTAAATATATAAATTGCTTTATAAATATGTCATATTTATATGTAACATAGGTATATATATATATATATAAATATTCTAAATATAGGGAGAAATTTATGTATTTCTCCCTTTGTTTATTTTTGAGTTGGAGTCTTGCTCTGTCACCAGGCTGGAGTGTAGTGATGCAATCTTGGCTCCTGGCAACCTCAGCCTCCTGGGTTCAAGTGATTCTCCTGCCTCAGCCCCCCAAGTAGCTGGGATTACAGGTGACTGCCACCATGCCCAGCTAATTTTTGTATTTTTCATAGAGGTAGGGTTTCACCATCTTGGCCAGCGTGGTCTTGAACTCCTGACTTCAGGTAGTCCGCCTACCTTGGCCTCTCAAAGTGCTGGGATTAAAGGCATGAGCCATCACCCCTGACTTACTTCCAGAGTTTCAATAACAGACATGTGGTTGAAGAAGAAAAGGAAGCCATGGTCTAGATGATAGAAACTTCATGAAAAGAGGCCAGTGAAGGGCAGGACGTGAAGCTCTCTACCTACAGGAAACCAACCCAGAGCCTCTTACAGGGACTTCAAGCACAGACGACCAGGAAAATCTGCATGAACCTGAGCCCTGGACCTAAGACAGGCCAAGGTCTTGACTGTTTCTACAGACTCACAAGATGCAATCTCTGTGGTCCAGGCCCATGGGGCTATCTGGAAAAGGGGGCCTTGTCAATGCCAATAATAAGAAAATCAAATGTAGGGCAGAAATTCTGGCACTAATGTGGGCTGTGAAAAGGCCTTAACAAATTACTCTGGTCCACTGCCAAGGTCATCAAAGGCGTGACTCTGAAATAATACATTTCAAGATGCCAGGGCCAAGATACCTGCACCCCTAGCCATATTGGTTAGGCTAATCTTGAACTCCCGGTCTCAAGTGATCACCTGCCTTGGGCTCCCAAGGTTCTGGGATTACATGCGTGAGCCACCGTGCCTGGCCAGAAACTTGTTTATCAAGTTAATGGCATAAGCACCAAGACTTATTTCAAGTGACTTTAAAATATTTTAATTTTATATTCTCAGATATAATCTGACAAGAATGTTATTCATGTTATTAAGAACCAAGATTTTTAGCATAGAGAAAAGAAAATAAATTTGGCAGGGCATGGTGGTGCATGCCTGTAACCCCAACACTTTGGAGGCCGATGCTGAGGACAGCTTGAGGCCAAAAGTTCAAGACCAGCCTGGACAACATGGGGAAACCCAGGCTCTACAAAAAAATACAAAAAAGTTAGCCAGGTGTGGTGGCACACACCTGTAGTCCCAGCTACTCAAGAGGCTGAGGTGGAAGGATTGCTTGAACCCAGGAGGTTGAGGCAATAAGCCATGATTTCGTCATTGCACTCAAGCCTGGGTGACACATGGGGATCCTCTGTCAAAAGAGAAAAGGAAAAAAATGCAAAGGCGGCACTTTGGAGAAATTGTTGAGTCCAGGTCAGAGAAAGCAGAAGTTGAAACAAGGTCACCTTGCTGTGCCCAAAGGCAAGGATGTTGTCAGAGACTACTGGGGTCAGGTAAAGAGAGACCAACTTGAAGGGGTAGCCACTAACCAGAGATGGGACAATGTGAACATCACCAAAAATAAATGACTACAATCAATTAAAATACATCCATTGATCTGCCAATACTTTAAGTACTTATCTGATAAGATATGTGATATTAATAAATGTGATTCTGTAACAGATGAATGAAAATAAGAAAAAAATTCTAATTTCGGCTTAAAAATCTAGAATTTTGGTCAAAAATGATCACTTCATTTTTGAGAAAATGCCTGCCAAATACCTAATTTTGAATAATCATAGTTTTGCTGTCAGTCACTTTTTTCCAAGTAAAAAGTGGCCAATGCAGCTGCTTTGTGGCTCAGTTGCACAAGCACTTTTCCGTACTTGGATATAAGACAAGCTTCATATCCTGGAATGTGGCAGAAGCATTTCATTTTATTACATAGAATATTAAAAAGATGTTTTCAAGGGTCAAAATTGGGTAAAATAATTTTTACTGCTTTATCAAAGACATTTTTCCCCCCAAAGACGGAGTCTTGCTCTGCCACCCCGGCTAGACTGCTGTGGCCTGATCACGACTCACTGCAACCTCTGCCTCCCAAGTTCAGCGATTCTTGTACGTCAGCCTCCTGAGTACCTGGGATTACAGGCGTCCTCCTAATTTTTTTGTATTTTTGGTATAAACGGGGTTTCACCATGGTGGCCAGACTGGTCTTAAACTCCTGACCTCGTGATCTGCGCTCCTCGGCCTCCCAAAGCATGCCTGGGACCTTATAGGTGTGAGCTACCCTGCCTGGCCTATCAAAGACATTTTTAGGTGAAACTGGTATGTCTTAAAAATGTAAGAGCATGGTGGTGAAGAAAACTGATTATGAGGATGGCTCTGTGCCACTGGACTGATACACACCAAGGGAAAACTGCTTTTGTTCTGCTGGTACAGATTCAATACGGAGAAAAAGCAAATAGTTTTCCTTGATCAACACAGGTGTGAACTACGGGGACCCACTTATGTGCTGATTTTCTTCTGCTTCTGCCACCCTGAGACAGCAAAACCAACATACCCCTCCTTCTCAGCCTTCTCAACGTGAAGACCATGAGGATAAAGACCTTCTCATGCTGATCCACTCTTCCATTTAATGAACAGTAAGTATATTTTCCTAATAACGTTTTTTTCTCTAGCTTATCTTAATGTAAGAATACAGCCTGTAATACACAAAACATACCAAGTATGTTCATTGACTGTTATATGGGTAAGGCTTCCTGTCAACAGTAGGCTGTTCGAAGTTAAGTTTTGGGGCAGTCAAACAATATATGCAGACTTTCAACTGCACAGGGGGATAGCACTCCTAACCCTCATGTTGTTTAAGGGTCACTGTAATGTCTTGCATAGTTAAGAGAGGTTTGACCTCCCAGACCTCCAAGAGTCTTGAGGAACCCAGGGATCTCTGGGTCACACTTTGAGAGCCACTGGTCTAGAAGATACTTATTAAACAACCAATATATACATTCCAGCTGACTTGCACATTTGATCCTATATTTAGAAAAATTTAAGAGAGAAATGGAATCTCTTTCTGGTTTTTCTCCATTAGAGGTTGAGGGAGGAGGTGAAAGAGATACACAAAGCTACAATTAAAATTTTCTATTTTCTAACATAAATCTGATTTATGAAACCACAAACATAAGTATTATGACAAAACCCAGTATTTTTTTTAATTTAAAAAATGTTGTTATATATCCAAGTTAATCACTCTCTAAAGAAAAGGGAAATCTTAAAAGACAGTTTTGTACTAACTAAACCCTGAGAGCAGACTAGAATCCCAGAAACACATCCCAAGACCAGAGCACATCTTCCTATCTCTGCCATCTCTTTGATTTTCTGCTCATAGAACTCCTGCTCTTGTTGCACAGCTGGAAGAAGAGCACGCCGGTCATAGGACCTACAATGTCGCCGCTTATTTTCCAGAAAGAACATCCTCTTTTCTATTTTTATGTCACCTAGAAGATATATGACGATGCAAAAGCATGCAGACAAGTGTGTGTTAGGAATCTGGGCCAGCTATGTCCACTTTTCCTGGCCTCATCCTCCACCTTCTCTCTGGCAATGTTTCATGATTTCTGTATCACATTCTACCATTTGGAAAGACTGAGCTTTATACCATTTGCCAATCTACCACCCACTCTTTGCTCGTTCTGGTTTTTTCCCTCTGTTTATGCTCCAATTAGAAGGCATCTCCTACCTGTCAGAAGTGCACTATGTGAATATACCACAACTTATTATCTATTTCGATACTGAGGACATGGGTTTATCATTTTAGGTTAATCTGAATAGTGCTGCTTACACCTATTTATTGTTCCCATGTAGCTGGGAATTGCTAGATCATGGGATAGGCTGACTTTCAGCTTTAGAAAATAATGACAGTTTTCCGTTGTACCTGTTTACACCCTTCCTTTATCAGCAATGCACGTGAGTTCCAGTCTCTCCATGTTCTTACCAACACCTATCATCAGTTTTTAATTTTAGCCATTCTGGTGGGTGCAAATATGCTGAATGTTTTTCAATCATTTTTATTTTGAAAGCATTCAAATATATAAGGGGCAGAAGGAATAGAGGCTATATTCACCACAATATATTATAACATGAGAATAAAAGATAGCAGAATGACAAATAACCGATATGTAATTGATCTCTTCAGGTTTTGTATTTCTTTTGCTGATTTGGTAATTTATGATTTTTTTTTTCTTCTTGAGACAGAGTCTTGCTCTGTTGCTCAGGCTGGAGTGCAGTAGCACATTCATAGTTCACTGCAGCCTCAACTCTTGGACTCAAGAGATCCTCCCACCTCAGCCTCCTGAGGAACTCGGACTATACAGCCAGGTGCCACCAAGCCCAGCTAATTTTTCTGTATCTTTTGTAGAGATGGGAATTTGCCATGTTGTCCAGGCTAGTCTTGAAATCCTGAGCTCAAGCGATTCACCAGCCTTGAGGCCTCCCAAAGTGCTGGGATTATAGGTGTGAGCCACACTACCTGACAAATTTATGTTTTACTAGAAAACTTTATCTCATCTAGATTTTTAATTTATTGGTCATCTCTTGATGTTAACATTTGCCATTTGGTTCCCAATACATTTTATTTTGATTCTCCTTTTCTCTTGCTCATTCTCACTAGTTTAAACTTTTTCGGTCCTGGCACAGTGGCTCATGCCTGTAATCCTAGTACTTTGGGAGGCCGAGACAGGTGGATTACCTGAGGTCAGGAGTTCAAGACCAGCCTATCTAACATGGTGAAACCCCATCTCTACTAAAAATACAAAAATTAACCAGGCGTGGTGGCACACACCTGTAATCCCAGCAACTTGGGAGGCTGAGGCAGGAAAATCACTTGAGCCCGGAGAAGAAGGTTACAGTGAGCCCAGATCACGCCATTAACTCCAGCCTGGGTGACAGGAACAAGACTCTGTCACCCCCCCACACAAAAAAAACCCAAAACCAAAAACAAAAACCCCACTGTTTTTGGTTTTATAAGAATAGAAACGCATATGTTTAGAGAGCAAGCTTTGAAGTCAGATTCCCAGGTCGGCCACTTGCTATGAAACATCTTGCAAGTTACTTTACTTCTCTGTGCTTCAGTTTTTTCTGTAAAATGATAATAATGGCACATACATCTCATAAGGCTATTTGAAACATAAGTTAATCTATTAAAGCACTTAGAAAAGTGCCTGGTACATATTAAGTACTCAATAAATGTTAATTACTATAATTATCAATGCCATAAATTAAAACACTTTTTCACCTTCTATTATTTCTTTCGCCTTTACTCAGTTCTTTTTGCAGTTTATCATGTTCAAGCAGTAAGAGTTATTTTCAGTCCTTTATTTTTAAAATAAATGCAATTAGGTCTACAAAATTCCCTCTAATGCATTTTCCTGCATGACCATAAAAAGGACAGAGCAGAGAGAACTCTGTTTCACTCCTGAGTCAAGCAATTATAGCCCAAAGAGCAGTGCTTAGATAGAAAACAAACCGAAAAGGAGAAAAATGGGATTCCTGGAGCAGATGAGGGATTCTTAGCCCATGTCCTTATAAAAAGCTGTTAAAAAAGGCTAAGTGTGAGTCATAAACATTAAACTACTAATATAAATCAAGAATATTTTCTATATAATGCTTCCAGGGTCCTTAAAGATTATCTGATAATGGCAGGGCATGGTGTCACATGCCTGTAATCCCAGCACTTTCGGAGGCTGAGGAGGGCGGATGACCTGAGGTTGGGTGTTCAAGACAAGCCTGATCAACATGAAGAAACCCTGTCTCTGCTAAAAATACAAAATTTAGCCAGGCACGGTGGAACATGCCTGTAATCCCAGCTACTGGGGAGGCTGAGGTAGGAGAATTGCCTGAACCCAGGAGGCGGAGGGTGCGGTGAGCTGAGATCACGCCATTGCACTCTAGCCTGGGTAACAAGAGCGAAACTCCATCTCAAAAGAAAAAAAAGAGTATCTGATATGTACAATTTAAGAATCAGCATCTGAATTAAAGTGCTATTCCTAAAACAAAGGACTGAACCAAATAAAATGAAGTTTACAGGGAAAAATGTGAGATGCAGAAAAACCTAGAGGTGTATGACTTCACAGAAATGTGGGTGAAAAGACCAAGGCTGAATGGGAGCAGACCTCATGTAAAATATGATGTCCTGTCTTCACCCCAACTTTCAAAATGATGCTGACAAGCTAGAGAAGGGCACGCAGGGAAGGGCAGAAGGGCAGTCAGGCTGACGAAGGGGCAACAGCCAGAATCTGTCTCTCCAGATTCTATCACTGTACAGTGGTGGAAGGCAAGAACTACAACCACGGCAGGACATTTGAGGACAGCATATACTGACTTAATATAAAGGAAGAACTGTCTAAAAGACAGAGTTGACCAACAAGGGAGTAAACTATCCTGAAAAGTAGTACTTTTTCCACCACTAAAGTCAGACACAAACGCTGTATGGCTACGCACAAGGATGCCTGTTGTGACCTCTGGATAAACTCGGCTGAATGAAAACCCACCTGCACACTGTCCCTAGTTCTACATTCTGCCACAGGCCAGGGGAACGTCATGTTAGCAGACCACTGCTGCACAGATTGGCTTAGCAACCTCAGGAGTCATAGCCTAAGGGATTTTCTTTTCGCTACTGAAGAGTTCATAGTAAATTCATATTCTTTCCAACTTTATAGTTACCCAAGTTTCCACTTAGTCATACCTGAAATCAAGTGCAGTAATTAAGTACACATGTAACAGAAACACAAGAGAAAAGGAAAGGGAAATGTTCCTGTTTATGGCATGATCTCTAGAAAAAGTTGTAGTAAACTCAGAAAAAATCTGTTATAAAACTAAACAAGTTTACGTTTTTGGGGATTAGACCTGAAGTAACCTCTTCAAAACAGTTTCCAGCACTGATTTCATCAATAAGAATGATAGAATTTTGGAGAAACATGTGGCTATTAGCCATCCTCTCAGGTGCATAAATGACCCTCTGCAGTAAGCCCTCATTCAAAAGTCTGGGTGGTTTCACCTAATAATACAGCCAATTAACACCATGCCTTTAAGACCAGTTTTTTCCCCAAGCTTAACAGCACACCCAAAAATACCTTCCCACACATGAATTTTCTAACAGCACACAAAGTTTTTCTGTCATAGTTTATCTTAAGTATGAAGAAGGAAGCCAACAAGTGCAGCCACTTTCTAAAAATTTTGATGCGCTGTGAAAATAGTTCCTGTCAGTCACTCCTTGGACTGGCCTGGTCAGATGCTCGGCAGACACCAGCAGCACGACTTTCTTCACTGACCGTGGGAAGAAAAGGTACAGCGTTGCAGCTACACACTGCCAGCAACACAGTTTGCATTACCTTGTTCAAACTTGAAATCGATGTAAGAATACTGATTCATTTCTTTTCTCTTCTTCCTTTTTCCACTGGTTTCTGGTGATAGCTCCTGCCATTTTTTAATGGCATCGGAAAAGGCCTGAAAATTGAGAAAGGGAAAGATTACCTCCATAAATGGAAAATAAGAATACATGAAACAGGCAATCCAAAAATGCCATTTAACATAGTTTCAACTTTCTTCCCAGCACGGCTAACAAGAACAGGCAGTGGCAGCTGGGCTGGTAGCTCACGCCTGTAATCCCAGCATTCTGGGAGGCCAAGGCGGGTGGATCACCTCAAGTCAAGAGTTCAAGACGAGCTTGGCCAACATGGCAAAACTCCGTCTCTACTAAAAATAGAAAAACTGGCCAGGTGGGGTGCTGCGTGCCTGTAATCCCAGCTACTCCTACTGAGGCAGGAGAATCACTTGAACCCAGGAGGGGGAAGTTGCAGTGAGCCGAGACTGCACCACTGCACTCCAGCCTGGGTAACAGAGTGAGATTGTGCTCAAAAAACAAACCAACAAATAAAAAGGCAGTGGCAAAATATTATTTTCATTTCTCTGACTTTCATAAATTGGTACAGTGGTGGAAGCAAAACACTCACAGGTTAGAAAGTGACTAGGGAAAATAAAATCTGTTGGCTGGGTGCAGTGGCTCATAACTGTAATCTTAGCACCATGGGAGGCTGAGTGGGGCGGATCGTTTGAGCTTAGGAATTTGAGACCAGCCTGGGCAACAGGGGGACAACCCATCTCTATTAAAAATACAAAAAAAACAGCCAGGTGTGGTGGAGCACAGCTGTGGTCCTAGCCACTCAAAGGCTAAGGAAGGAGAATCACTTGAACCTGAGAGGCGATGCTGCACTGAGCTGAGATGGCGCCACTGCACTATATCCTGTCTCATATAAAACAAAACTGTCCAAGCTGTCCTTGCGTAAGTACAGGTTAAAATCAGATGACAATGGGCTGGTGAGTTCCATTCTATGGGCAAATCTTCCATGTTCTTTCTCTGGCCAATGCTCCTCTTCACTTTCCCCAAATCTGCTTCTCCCACACTCTTCTCTGCGTGCATCTATATCCACCCCACCCTTCAACACCATGCTGGAGTTCAAAATCCTCCCACTAGTGAGGATTCCTTTTCTTTCCTACCTTCAGCTTCTCCCTCTTACATCTTTCTTATCAACATTTAAACGTGCTCTACTCAGGCCAGGTGCAGTGGTTCATGCCTGTAATCCCAGCACTTTGGGAGGCTGAGATGAATGTATAACCTGAGGTCAGGAGTTCAATACCAGCCTGGCCAACATGGCAAAACCCCATCTCTACTAAAAAAAATTACAGGCACCTGCTGACAGGTGCCTGTAATCCCAGCGACTTGGGAGGCTGAGGCAGGAGGATTATTTGAACCTGGAGGCTGAAGGTTGCAGTGAGCCAAGATAGCACCATTGTACTCCAGCCTGAGCGACAGAGTGTGACTCGGTCTGAAAAAAAGAAAGAAAAAGTGCTCCAGTCTTTGCCATCCTAAAAAAATGAAAATACGTTCTCCCTTGATCTCATCCCTCTTTCGAGGCCAGCCCCTTTCTTCTTCTCCTCTTTGTAGAGAAACTTATCAAAGAAGGAGCTGTCTGCTGCTTTACTACCTCACACTCATGTACACAAGCTTTCCAGCTGTCTCTAATCTGGCATCTGCCCTGCCTTTGTACTTACTCATCTATGCTTCGTACCGAGTGACCAAGTCCACCATCTGCATTCTAGTCCTCATGTTGTACAAACTCTTAGCAGTGTTTAATAACGTAGGCTGGGCATGGTGGTGTCCCAGCGCTTTGGGAGACTGAGGCAGGATTACAGCCTGAGGCCAGGAGTTCAAAAGCAGCCTGCACAATCTAGCAAGACCCCATTTCTACGAAAAATAAAATAAAAAGATCATCCAGGTGTGGTGGTGCACATCTGATGGCTTGAGCCCAGAAGGTCAAGGTTGCAACGAGCCATGATTGTGCCAATGTACCCCAGCCTGGGTGACAGAGAGAGACCCTGTTTCTAAATAACAGTAACGATGATGATGATGATACAGACTGCTCCACTCTCTCAACTTCCCCTCTTCCTGTCTGCCTGTCTCCTCTGCTTGGTCTTTACATGTCAGGAGTCCTCTCTTCTCACCTGATATCTCATTCGGACTGGTGAGATTATTTTCCATACGCTGATGACTCTCAAAGTCCTATCACCATAAAACTCAAGGAGATACCCCCCAAAAAATTCTATCTACTGTCTGTATTTTCCAAACTTTTTAGTCCATTCAACCTGCCAATGAATTATATTTTACTCACAAGGCCCTTCTTAGTACATTGGCAACCAATGTTTCACAAGACGGAATTCATAATTATTTCCCTTCAAACAAGATTTTTATACTAGTTAGTCCTCAACCCAATAAATGACAATAACATCTTCCAAACCCCCTTTCACCAAACTCCTACTTGGGTCTGTGATTAAAGGTCCCTTGCTCAGGGAGACCCTTCTGGAGACCCTTGATCTACCTTAGGTTGTTACCTGTTTTACCCTTTCAAAGCCCCTCTATTTTTCTCTCAAAGTCTTTTTTTGGCTGGGTGTGGTGGCTCACACCTGTAATCCAAGCACTTTGGGAGGGTGAGCTGGCAGGATCACAAGAGGTAAGGTGCCTTACCAGCCTGACCAATATGGTGAAATCCCATCTTTACTAAAAATACAAAAATCAGCCAGAGGTGGTAGCGTGCATCTACAGTCTGAGCTACTGAGGAGACCGAGGCCAGAGAATCTCTTGAAACAGGGAGGCAGAGGCTGGAATGAGCCGAGACTGTGCCACTGCACTCTTGTCTGGGTGACAGAATGAGAATCCATGTCAAAAAAAAAAAAAAAAAAAGGTGGAAGGGGCTTGGCCTAGACCTCAGCATGAGCCACATAGTCCTTGGGTCTTACCTTCCTGCAGGTAAGACCCAGAGATAACCAGTACGATAACTCCACATTTGTTTATCCTTTGGTCAAAAGAAAGTCACAGTGTTTGCTGAGAATCACAAGAATTTCAGCAGGAGAACAGCATTTAATGGCAGTAACGGTGACCAAGAGGAGTAAGCCAAAGTCTCTGCTGGTGCGTGTGCTCCTGTGTACAAAGTGGGCACTGTGTGCTGCGCTTCATGGAAAGACACGTCTGTGTTATCCACCACAAACCAGCACCCTTTTCACCCTTAAGAGGCCTTTAAGTGCTATCTACTTTAGGATCCTGGGGACAAAATGCTGGGAGCTGTCAGGAGCTGCCCACTCTCTTCTGATGGGGTACTGCTGAGTTCCTGAACTCTTTACAGACCTTATGTCGTATCACTGATAACTGAGCCACCTGGGGGATGGATGGTAGTGTGACTTGTCCAAAGTGAGAAAGCAAATCAGAAAGAAGCAAGATTAGAACACATCTTTCATACTCCTGCATTCCACAGTAAAATGTATTACCCTCTGTGTTTTTACGGTCAAACCAGAACTTCTCTGCTTCTCATCTATTATTTCTTTTCATTTAGCCCTTCCTAATCAGCAAATACCTATCTACTTATCTTCACTCTAACAAATTCCTTAGCTCTCTGCAATCATAAACAATCCCAACTTCTACACGCTGAACTGTTTATTCTGTTATCATGGGAAGATGTAGTCAAGAAGTGTGACACCAACAGGAAGACCAAGTAGAGCACCTTTCGGGTGATGGCATAGTGTCCTTTAAGCTCGTGCAGGGCCCACTTAATGTCCTGACTACTGAGCATTTTGAAGTCGGCCATGAGGAGGTCAGCAGCTTGGATGAAGCAGCGCTGGTCTAGAGGAGTCAACTTAGAATAGTCAAAAAAGTCTATTTTAGGCAACTGAAATGAGAGAGAAGCATACAATTAGAGGCCAGACAGTACATTTCTCATGTAGGGAAAATCATTTTAAGAATTACATGTACAAGAAAATAACCTCATTTTTTTCTAATTACTCTATAAGGAAGTTACCAGCCCTATAAGAGAGATGAGAAAATGGTGGCTCAGAGAGGTTCAACAACCCTATCTGGAGCCTACAGACTAGTTTTACTAGTTATAACTCGTGAAGAAATATCATTGGGGATTTAAACCAATCTTTCAGCCACCTTCTTTCCATAAAATCTTTACAAACAACTATTTTTTTTTCCTATTATAGAACATGTAAAAGACATAGTCAAAGAATTTGTGTGGAGTTGGAAGATCAAGCAACGGATCTTAATAAAATTAGTTCTCAACCATACTTTACCATATAACACACTAAATGCCAGCTTGAATCACAAATAATGACAATAATTACAGTTTTTAAAAGCCAAACTGTTTACATCTTGATATGAGATCTGGGTTAAACAGGTGTATACACTGTATACAAATCTCACATCAAAAGAAAAAAGAGATTCAACTTTAGGCAATGATATGTATGCTGAAGCGTTTACAGGGAAGTGTATTGATGCTTTTGCAATTGACTCTGAAACACATTATAATGAAACGAAACATAACAAAGATGTGCTGATGGACAGACCGACGGCAGAGGTATGATAAAGAGGATACAGTAAACTGTTAACTTTTTAGTAGTACCAGTGTTGGGTATATAGGTAATCAATGTAAAAGTTTCAACTTTCCTTTAGGTTTGAAAAGTTTCATAATAAAATGTTAGAGTCCTGGCCAGTTCTTGTTTAGCTTTAGGAATTTGCTTTATAGGATTAAAGATATGGAAGATTCGTTTAATTCTTTGTGGGAAAAGGAAGATAAGAATTACATGGAAAGGTAGGAGTTAAAGACAGAATTCAAAGTGGCTCAGATTGGGAGATCCCACTGAAGTATAGATATATTCTCAAATCCTATATCCCTCTGCTAGTCTTTAAAAACTTGTCCCAACAAAGCACTTTCTTCCCACAGAGATAACAACAAAAACAGCAGGGCATTTCCAGGTAGCAAGACAAGAACACAACACTTGCCTTTGTCTCATCTTGGCTGGCCAGCAGACTGCTACTGGGATTTATAATGATTCTATCTTCTCTCTTTGGATAATCTGGATTTTCCAGAAGAAAATTACAAAGTCTGCAAAAACAAACGAGGTTACTTTCACACTGCTTCCAAATCCCACACCTACCCATTGCTTCAAATGCAATGTCTGAAGAATAGAGCCCCTAGTCACACATTACAACTGGCCTATCAAGAAATTAAGATGTTGGTAGCCCAGAAAAACTAAACAAATAAATAAACAACTGTATTGAATTCCTACCTTCGGGAAAGATAAAAAATTTAAAAAGCAATGAACATACTGATGAAAACAAAATCCTCTTATCTATCAGTTGGGTGTTGATGTAATGAAGTCACTGAAACTATTATTGGTTAAACTATGAAACTGTAAATGTGTAAAAGTAGCTACTGTTTGTCAAGAAAACTATGAACAAACAAGAAGTGGGAACCTGTGTATTCACATTTATAATAAAAAATAGTCTGTTAAGAGATGTAATAAATAAATCAAATATAAAAGACCTTCTGTTCATTCATTAATACTTTTTATACCACTATGGTGACATAAAACTCTATGGTAAGATAAAGCCCTATGAGCCATCTGAGTTACACTTGGTTTATTTAACTAACTGCTAGGCCAGGCTGATGAATAGATCATGTTTTCCTATGAACAGACTCTCTTCACAACAAACCCACTAGCTTTGTCTATTATCATCGTGAAATACTTCCAAAGTAAGGATATACAGCGGGAGATAACACACAATGATGTATCACCACCCAGACCCAACAAATATTAACTATCCACGCTGTTCACAGTCAAATCAGACAACCACCTTGGAATGACTGCACAGCAGTAAAGACAGCGTGGGTGGCGTGCAGCTCTAGCCACATTCAGTAGCAAGGAAGCTTCTTTGCTCAGAGGGTAATGGGAACTTCCTCTTCTCTCTACTTCTTCCTCCTACTCCAGGAGATTCCTAGGATGAGCCCTGTAGGTGTCACACTTGCAATTCTCACACATCTCCCTTTTTACCAGTTCTCTTTTGCCAGATGTCAATAGTAAGGCCTATAATAGTAGGGTAGGAGGTCTGGCAGAAAAGGGAGGAGAGAAAAAGTGCCCAGCTCCAGCTCCTTTTCTCACCCAGGTGCCAGTGTTTGGGGAATGGTTTGGAGAAGTTCGTTTATTCTGCAACCCCTGCCAGGGCCCCATGTCAAAGCCCTCTCCCTCATCCTGACAACTCAATGCATTTCCCTTTGTTGTTATTTCCACGAGTCCCATATGCTTTTTATCTCTAAGCTCCCACTTTCCCTACCACCACAGCCTGCCCAGTCTACAGAACACAACGTCAGAGGCCCAAACAGAGAAAAAAGCAGCATCCTCCTCCTATTACAGAGAGATAAGAATTCTGAGTACATTTTCCTTTAAAACCACTGTCATCAGTGGTAATTCCCTGTCCTAGAATTTACTAGTGTGCACTAAGGTTATGCAAATCTTTGAAGGCTGACCTGAGAATTAGCCACCAGCAAAAATCCCGTCTGTGGGGAAAGGCCTGAGTTCCAGACAACTCATTACGTGTGCATATTCAACATGGTTACAAACCAGACACAGACTAGCTTTAAAATTGTCTGTTTTTATGTGTTTTCTCAATTACACGATACATAAGTACACCCCTAGATGATATACAGGTGAAATAGTAGATATGATTTCTTGAAAACAAAACAAAACAAAACAAAACAAAACAAAACAAAACAAAACAAAACATGTTTGAGAGGGTCATCTCTTCCCAATTCGTATTTTCAACAATATTAAGAACTTCAGATACTGAAATGTTATAGATATGAAGTTCCACACAGCAGAAATCAGAAGCTCTCATTAGAAACTGTCAAAATTCACTTCTAGTTTAATCCCTTCAGTATGCTTACCAATGGAATTCTTCTGAAGGTTAAGTGACATTTGGAGGCACAGAAAATAAAGGACAAAGTTTTTCTTCTACAGAAACAAGTGGTAGCCTCTGTTCTAATATCTGCACTCCGGGGCAAAAGCAGTGGGGAAGCCTGGGTTAAACTTCAACCTGTCCAGCTCTTCACGTGATCTCATGCTTGAGCTGACCTGACATGCTAGCAGATCTAGAGAAGGCACTCCTGTAAAAGTAAGTCAGGCTACTAATCCAACACTGCAACTCTGAGAGTTGTTGCTGCCTTCATCCAGCTGAAGTTGACCACGTGTGAGTGAAAGGTCTAAGTTAACCAGCCAGAATATATTACCTGCCATGTGAAGTTCTCTGATGAATAGGCCCTCGCTGCTTAAAGTGGCCAGATGCTGGGCACGGTGGCTCATGCCTGTAATACCAGCACTTTGGGAGGCAGAGGCAGGTGGATCACAAGGTCAACAAATGGAGACCATCCTGGCCAACATGGTGAAACCCTGTCTCTACTAAAAATACAAAAATTAGCTGGGTGTGGAGGCACATGACTATAATCCCTGCTACTTGGGATGCTGAGGCAGGAGAATCACTTGAACCTGGGAGGTGGAGGCTGCAGTGTGCCAAGATGGCACCACTGCACTCCTGCCTGGTGACAGAAAAGGCCAGATGGTTCCATCTGAAGGTCATTTAAAGACGCACATAAAGCAACTGAGACTGAGCTACAACAAAATCCCAGCCTGCTCTACTCAGCTTTGGGCCTCACTTCCAGATTACATCAACAACATTTTAGTTTAGTTGTGAAATTAACATTGTCCTAGGAGCCCAGGGACTAATGGAAAGAAAAGCAGTGTCAGGAAAACAAGATTGGCTTGAAAAGATGCAATACAATTACTGCACATTCCCTTGCTTTTTCAATTTCATGGGAATTTTTATGTGTTTAAGGATCAATGTTTGCTTCTGAGTGACGCAAAAAGCACAGAGAGTCAGCAAGTCCCTAAAAATAAGTGCATGTGTGAGACTTAGGAAGTAGGAGAACAGAACTGTTAACAGGTGTCAATTTGATTATATTTTAGTGATTTTTACAGATAATCTTAAAGATATATTTAAAACATGTTCATTCACAGAAGGGGAGGGAAGTATTAAAGTATACTCAATTTATATGAGGTTAAGTTGTTAAAAAATACTAAAACATGGTATCTGGCATTCAAATCACTATTATATAAATAAGCTAAGTTTATACTTTTTCTATCATTTACATTTTCTGTAATTAAACACGTATTATTTCATAACTAGAAAAACACCCCCCAAAAAAAGGAATTCAAAGAGAGAAGTAAACAATTCACATGCAAGGGAGATACAATCAGTAAATAAATATATGAAAAACACAGCCAATTACCAAAGATATGTCACCTAGACTACCTTATGCCTAGTTAACAACTACAAAAAAATAACATCCTAATTCAGTACTGTTGAAGAACTGTTAAAGCAATCCACACATATAAGTTGCTTTTTAGATGACTGGAAGCCTACAAGAAATATTTCATTGTAAAAAAGGTAGTCATCACTGCTCACTTTTGCTGTAAACCTAAAACTGCTATAAAAAATAAAGCTCTACTAAAAATATAAAAACTAGCTGGGTGTGGTGGGAGGCTGATGCAGGAGAATCGCTTGAACCCGGGAGATGGAGGCTGCGGTGAGCCGAGATAGCACCACAGCACTCCAGCCTGGGCAAGAGAGCAAGACTTCGTCTCAAAAAAAAAAAAAAGTGAGTAATGCAAAAACTTCAAGACAGGAATCTAAAGCAGTTTCAAACTAACACTGCCCCTGGGGACTTGAAAGAAGCATGACAGGCTGGTCTTGAACTCCTGACCTCAGGTGATCCCCCTGCCTCAGCCTCCCATAGTGATGGGATTACAGGTGTGAGCCATGCACCTGGCCTTTCCTTAATCTTTATAAATTTTACTTAACATGCCTCTGGGGACTTGCAGGAAGCAAAAGCAAATCCTCTCTAAAGAAACCAACTCTATCAAGACCTCAACACGTGAGCTTACAGTCAAACTTAGAACACACAAGAGAGCAAGGCACCATGGGAGCCAGCAGGAAACACGGAATACGATTCCCAAGAACCTAACACATCAGGACAATCAAACTCACATAGAAGCTGTTATTGTTTGAGAAAATACCAACTATTTGTTAACAATAAGAAAAAAAAAAGAAGAGAAGGTATGTTATTGTTTAAAGAAAACAAAAAGAATTAAAAATACAGGCAAAGAGTAAAACTCTAGGAAAATAACCAAGAGAATTAAAAGCTAAAATAACATAACTGAAATACAGTAACACAGTGGATGGGTTAAAAAGAGATTACACTTGGGCCGGGTGTGGTGGCTCACACCTATAATCCAGCACTTTGGGAGACCAAGAAGGCGAATCACGAGGTTAAGAGATGGAGACCTTCCTGGCCAACATGGCGAAACCCCATTTCTACTAAAAATACAAAAAGTTAGCTGGGTATGGCGACACGTGCACGTAGTCCCAGCTACTCGGGAGGCTGAGGCAGGAGAGTCGCTTGAACCTGGGAGACAGAGGTTGCAGTGAGCTGAGTTCAAAGAGGTGGATTTAGAGACATGGAAGATGTGGGTGAAGTTACACAAGACAGGAAATAGCTACAAAATTTCTAGAACTGATCAATATCACCAATCTATGGCCTGGTAGCCTATGTGCTTAACGGTTTTGCCTTACTGAGAAGCATGTTAAGTAAAATTTATAAAGCTTAAGGAAAGGCCAGGTGCATGGCTCACACCTATATTCCCAGCACTATGGGAGTTTGAGGCAGGTGGATCACCTGAGGTCAGGAATTCAAGACCAGCCTGGCCAACATGGCGAAACCCCGTCTCTATTGAAAGTACAAAAATTTGCTGGTGTGGTGGCTCACGCCTGTAATCCCAGCACTTTGGGAGGCTGAGGCGGGTGGATCACATGAGGTCAGGAGTCTGAGACCTGGCCAACATGGTGAAACCCCTGTCTCTACTAAAAATACAAAAATTAGCCTGGTGTGGTGGCAGGCGCCTGTAATCCCAGCTACTTAGGAGGCTGAGGCAGGAGAATCACCTAAACCTAGGAGGCAGAGGTTGCAGTGAGCTGATATCACACCACTGCACTCCAGCCTGGGTGACAGAGCAAGACTCCATCTCAAAAACAAACAAACAAACAAACAAACAAAAAACAACTACCAACCAAAATATTTCCTTGGTCTGTCCCTTGAAAGGACCTAGAGAGATGACACGCCACTAGCAATGGTGAGCACATCTAGCCCTGAGACGTTTAAAAATATCAATCCTCATTCTAAGAAAGCTGGGTCTCTCGGAGAATGATTTCAGGTTCTGGGCAGAGAATTCAAGGTAAGCCTGGGACAACAAGGTATATTAGGAAGCAAGGAAGTACTCAAAGACTAAAGGCATCAGACCAAAAGACACTGCTGGTCATATCTGGGACAATTTCAGTAACAAAAAGAAAATGATTGTGACTGATCTAAAACAACACTTAAAAACTCTTAAGTCCACAGTAACATTTTTTTTTTAAAGACGAAGTAAAAATCTTTACAGCAGAATGTCAGATAGTAATCTAGATGGTAGACACATGGTATTCATTGCACAGTCTTTCAACTTTTTATATTTGAAACTGCTGGATGGGGAAAGTTAATGATATTTTTAAAAAAGTAAGTGAGATTAAGAGGCTAAAGAGATAGATACACTAAGAAACCTGAATGCAGTTCTGTTTAAATCTGATGACAGGCCGGGCGTGGTGTCTTATGCCTATAATCCCATCACTTTGGGATGCCAAGGTAGTTGGATCATCTGAGGTCAGGAGTTCGAGACCAGCCTGACCAACATGGTGAAACAAGATCTCTATACAAAAATTAGCCAGGCGTGAGGTTGCATGCCGGTAATCCCAGCTACTCAGGAGGCTGAGGCAGAAGAATCACTTATACGCGGGAGGTTGCAGTGAACCAAGATCACACCATTGCACTCCAGACTGGGCAACAAAGCAAGACTCTGTCTCATAAATAAATAAATAAATAAATAAATATCTGATGACAGTGGTTGCCTCTGTACAGAGGTGGTGGGATCAGACAAGGCCACTACCAGCTCCAACAGTGTCATTGTACAAATTAGAAAAAAGTACCTACATTGGGCTAAGTACCTGGAAAGGGACCCTTCCTTCTCACCATTGGCAGAGAAGAAACTCGCCTGCACCCTTGGACTGACAGTTTTAGTATGAGACATGAACTTTGAGGAAAGGTGTTTAGTGAACTGTCTATTTTGTTTAAATTTACAACTAGGCTGAGTGTGGTACCTCAAGCCTGTAATCCCGGCACTTTGGGAGGCCGAGCAGGGCAGATCATGAGGTCAGGAGTTCAAGACCAGCCTGACCAACATGGTGAAACCCCATCTCTACTAAAAATACAAAAATTAGCCGGGCATGGTGGCATGCGCCCATAATCCCAGCTACTCAGGAGGCTGAGGCAGGAGAATTGCTTGAACCCGGGAGGCTGAGATTTCAGTGAGCTGAGACTGCCCCACTGCACTCCAGCCTGAGCAACAGAATGAGACTCCATCTTAAAAAAAAAATTTTTTTTTCTTACACAACTGTTTCACCTTTGCAGATCAGAGGAAGGGGAAAATTATGACTTATTTTTCCTTTTATACTCTTCAGGAAAACTTACTTTTTAAAAAAGCGTATGTATTAATAGAGATATGGTCTCATTCTGTCATCCAGGCTGGCATGCGGTAGTAGGAATATAGCTCACTGCAGCCTTAAATTCCGGGACTCAGGCACTCCTCTTGCCTCGGCCTCCCAAAGTGCTGGGATCTGGCCCAGATTTACCCCTTTTATAATAAAAATTAAGAAATGCTTCCACGTATTTCTCCAAACAGAGTGGTTGCGGAATATTTTTTGTTACAATTCTAGGGAAGAAAATGTATTTGAACATCTTGACTAAAACACAGGTAGTATCAATGCTCAGAAAATCAGCCTCATAATTCTATAACCATGCAGTATTCCATAAGATGCAGAAAACAGTGTGTATATGACTAATGTCAGAATGAACAGGGTCACTAAAAAAGACATAATGCCAAGTGAAATAAGCCAGTCAGAGAAGAACAAATACACGAGGTCCCTGATAGTAGCCAAATCCATGAAGACAGAAAGTAGGATGGTGGGTGTCACTGGCTGGGGAGAGGAATGGGGAGTGTGTTTAATGGGGACAGAGTTTCAGTTTGAGAAGATGAAAGAGTTCTGGAGATGGATGATGGTGATAGTTGCATAATAATGTGAATTTACTTAACACTGAATTGTATACTTAAAAATGATTAAAACGACAAATTTTATGTTATATATATTTTACCACCACCACAACAAAAAAACGATGGTAGTATACTTACACGTTCAGATCATAATAATTCTTCAAATGAATTATCTCCTCAATAAACCCATTTGCTACATCTGGAAATCTTGCTTCCTAGAAACAAATGAGAACATAATTTACATTTCATTAACTAGAATGGTTTCAAATGGCAATACAAGACAGATGGCAAAAAGTATAATAAAATGACTAAAGACTAGAAAAGGGCTGTGTAGTAGGTCTGTGTGTGTCTTCAAGTTCAAAACTCGTTCCCAGATCAAGCTGTCTACACAGAAGACAAGGTCTAGAAAGGTCTCGAGATCTGGTTCTCTGTCCCCATGTTACAGATCCATTCATTATTGTTTCAACAAATACTGAGCAGCTGTCTAGGAAAAGGAAATCGAAACACAAATAAGGCACAATCCCATAAGGGTCCTCAAGCAGCACACAATCTAGTGGCTAGATAAAAAAACACCTGGGCGGCCATGCACGGTGGCTCACACCTGTAATCCCAGTGGGAGGCCGAGAGGGGTGGATCACCTGAGGTCAGAAATTTGAAACCAGCCTGGCCAACGTGGTAAAACCCCGTCTCTACCAAAAAAAAAAAAAAAAATTCAAAAATAGCTGGGCGAAGTGGTAGGTGCCTGTAATCCCAGCTACTAGGGAGGGTAAGGCAGGAGAATCGTTTGAACCCAAGAGGCGGAGGTTGCAGTGAGCCGAGACTGCGCCACTGCACTCCAGCCTGGGTGATGGGGCGAGACTCCATCTCAAACAAACAAAAAACACCTGGGTAAAGCAGGGTTAAGGGACTTGTTGGAAGGGAAACAGTGGCTACTGGATTTAATACCTTGTGTTATGCTTAATATCAGCACTAAAAGAGCTCTGTATGATGACAGAAACATTCTCCTCTATGCTTGATGATGAGGTAAAGCTGTCAGCCTCATGTGGCTACATGAGATGTGACTGGTGACTGGTGCCAATGGAAACTGCCAGTTGTAATTTTATTTAACGGTAAGACATTTAAATGTAAACAGCCACAAGGGGCTAGTGACTGCCATAGGATAGGTCTAGGTAATTCAATAAACCTGCTTTAAGGGTTTGCAACTGGAGTGAACTCAAGGCCTTTGAAAAAAAAGAGGGACTGCAGGTACAACAGCACTAGACAACCACGATATGAAGTTAGAATCGCAGAGAGCTTCCTGAAAGGTTAAGTATAGTAAAGAAAGGCTGATTCCATTGTCAAGTCTTCAGCATTTCTCTTCTATTCTGTATATCTAGATATATACCTCTAAAGAAAACGAAGTCCACATATACAAACTTTTTTTTTTTTGCAATGAAAAAAAAAAATCAATCAGTATATGTAGTGTTTACAATTATTTACTTGATTAAATAAAACTTACCGTTTCCTTCACTAATAGTGCAACAAGTTCTTGATCTACCTCTGTAGCCTCTTGGCCCCAGATGTTTTCCAAATTCGGCTCTTGAGATTCTTGCATTGGAAAGGCTGGACCTGCCTCTTCATCATCAATTGCTAACTGTTGGTCTTCAAACTCTCCTAGAGGATGGGCAGGCTGAGGAGAAGAGGGGCCTGAAATCCCACCTTGCTGGGGTTCTGGCCTTGGAAAAGCTGGCCCGGGGAATTCATGTTGAAACAACAAGCGGGCCAACTCTGCTTCAGGCTGCCGTTTCTGAGGAACAACCTGGTTTGTTATCTCACGGGGCTGTTGGTTCAGAGACTGGAAGTAAGGATGATCTAGCCAGCAGTCTTCTTCGATGGCCTGATCATCTGCCAGAGCAGATGACTCTCCCAGATTTGATAACAGCTCTGTTTCTGAGTCTTCGGATGACTGGTTCTGAGTTTCCAAAGTATCGCTTTCTGTGTAAAGAAGGCTACCTTCTTCCAAGATGACTACTTTCTGCTCTGATCTGGGGCTGACAATGTCATTTGCTGCTTGGTTACGACTCGGTCCAGGATTGGGTTCTCTATCTGTTTGGACACTTGGCTTAGTGAATTCAGAGACTCCAGGAGGCCCAAGATCCAGAAATTCACCGTAGTCATCCTCAGAATCATCCTGTGCCCCAGAATCAAACAATGGGTTGTTATACACTGAAAAATAGCGGCTTTTATCTGATTCAAATGCTGCTCTAGACTTTTTAGGCCTTTCTTCTCCCAATCTTTTCAGATCTTGCCACTGGGCAGCTGGTTTGATGAGATTGGGTCGTGATGTCTGAGGTTTATGTGTCTAAGAAAAAATGAAATTTTAATAATAATAATTCAGTTTCTTTCCTATGCCTATCCCTCCTTATGTACTTATACTGAGCTTCCGAGATAGGATAGGAAAGAAACAAAAACACACTCTCTTTAACAATACCTACCTATTCTTTATCTTAACATTTAAATCTGATCACACTGTATAGCATCTGTAAGAATCAAAGTACCCATTCTTAGATTAAAGCTTGAGATACAGTTTCAATTGTAATTTATTTTTATTTTACTTATTTTTATTTTTGAGACAGTTTCCCTCTGTCACCTAGGCTGGAGTGCAATTGTGCGATCTCAGCTCACTACAACCTCTGCCTCGTGGGCTCCAGTGACTCTTGTGCCTCAGCCTCCCGAGTAGCTGGATTACAGGCATGTGGCACCATGCCCAGCTAATTTTTGTGTTGCTTTTTCTTCCTTTTTTTTGTCGTCCAGGCTGGAGTGCAGTGGAGCAATCTTGGCTCACCGCAACCTCCGCCTCCCGGATTCAGGTGATTCTCCTGCCTCACCCTCTAGAGTACCTGGGACTACCACACCCAGCTAATTTTTTGTATTTTTAGTAAAGACAGCGTTTCACAGTGTTATCAAGGATGGTCTCGATCTCCTGACCTTGTGATCCGCCCGCCTCTGCCTCCCAGAGAGCTGAGATTATAGGTGTGAGCCACCGTGTCTAGCCTAATTTTTCTGCATCTAAAAGACACAGAGTTTTGTCATGTTGGCCACGCTAGTCTCAAACTCCCTGCCTCAAGTGATCTGCTTCCCTTGGCCTCCCAAAATGCTGGGATTACAGGTGTGAGCCACTGCACCCCACCATGAATTATAATTTAACCCGAGACCACTACAACAAAAATAACTCCACAGCAGAGAAAACAATGAAAGACTGTTAACACACCAGAAGAATAAGAAATGTTCAAAAAACATATACAAATAATCTAAGTCTCACTAAAATTTAAAACAAGACAGTATCTTTTTCCCCTGTAATATTAGCAAACTTTTAAATCAGATAATACCAAGCATTGGTGAGGATGCGTGTGAAAATCCTTTTTTTTTTTAATTTCTTGAGACAGTCTTACTCTGTCACCCAGGCTGAAGTGCAATGGCGTGATCTCAGCTCACTACAACTTCCACCTCCCAGGTTCACGCAATTCTCCTGCCTCAGCCTCCCGAGTAGCTGGGATTACAGGCGCCCACTTTTACACCCAGCTAATTTTTGTATTTTCAGTAGAGACAGGGTTTTGCCCTGTTGTCTAGGCTGGTCTTGAACTACTGGCCTCAGGTGATCAGCCCACCTCAGCCTCCCAAAGAGCTGGGATTACAGGCGTGAGCCACTGTGCCTGGCCTGAGCCACTGTGCTTGGCCGATGTGTGAGAACTCATACTATCACTTATTGCTGGTGAACTTAGGAGAGCAATTTGGCAGTATTTATTAAAATAAAAAATGTATATAATCTGTCATCACTTTTTCATACTGTTCTATAAACCCTCATGTATCTAAATAGGGCATATACAAGAATATTCAGCATACACAGAAAAAAACCTAGAGACACTCTCAACTTTGTCCCCAAGAGAATGGTTAAATAAACTATTACTTATTTGTTCTACAAAATACTCTACGACTATCCCCACCAAAAAAAGAGGTAGCTCAATCTGTAATGAAATGGAAAGCTCACCCAAGAAATGCCATTAAGTCAAGAAAAGTGAGTTACAAAATCATACATACAATGATGTTATTTACTTAAAACATGCAAGACACAAAATCATTTCTAAAAGTATGCATAGGTACACACACGTATGTGCCCATGGATACATACAAATTCAAAGAGAAGACCTGGAAGGATACATGCCACACTGGTAACAACAGTTCCCCTAGGAAGTCCCTAGAAGAAAGGAGATGGTGAACCTCAGGCTTTAGTGTGAGTCCCTGAAGACTATGCCACTGAAGTAAAGGCGGCAAACTGGACCTGGACCACCTGGGAACTGAAGCCCAGCATAGAGAGTTTAACTCCCTGAATGTGAGGTGCTGTTGTTTTTACTCTTCTTCAAGAAACCAATTAAGGTCCTCTATAGAGAAACATAACATCACACAGAATCTCAAAATTTTCGTATACGATGACTTACACGCAATCAAAAATAACTAGTCAAACAACAACTTAAGGCAACAATAGAAAACCATAACAAGAGAAGTAACAGACAACAGCAACAAACCTACAGAGGTTTCACACAGTGAAGTTATCAACATGAATTCTAAAATAACAATTAGCATGTTTAGAGAAATCAAAGACTAGATTGAGAACTGTATCCAAGAAGTAGAAGATCAAATGCAAGTTCCAGAATGGAAAAATACAGTAAGACTGGCTAGATAGATAGCATTTTAAGTAAATATAGTTGAAGAGAGAAATTAGTGCATTGAAAGCCAGGTCAGAATAAAACAGCCAGAGTAAGGCATAGACGAAATGGAAGATTAGGTAAGAGAACATGTCAACAACAATAACCTCTTCAAAACATATAAGTAGACTTGTAGAAGAGAAGAAGCTGTTTCTTTGGTAGAGGAGGAGGAAGGAAAACAAGTGGGGGAAGGGAAGGAGGGAAGACAGATAGTGGTTAGTTCAAATCAAGAAAAAAGGGGGAAAAAACATAACGAGTCACAGATTAAGAGAAAGTAGAACAACAGTCTGTTTTAATTCTACAGAATATATTCAAAATGTCAAAGAATGCACTCGTTCCATAGACTCTAAAAACAAAAAAAACAAAGAAACCCTCAAAGAAATAAAGAAAACTTCTGGCCAGGCGTGGTGGCTCACACTGTAATCCCAGCACTTTGGGAGGCCAAGGCAGGTGGATACCTGACGTCAGGAGTTTGGCCAGCCTGACCAACATGGTGAAACCCTGTCTCTATTAAAAATACAGAATTAGCTGGGAGTAGTGGCACGTGCCTGTAATCCCAGTTACTTGGGAGGCTGAGGCAGGAGAATTGCTTGAACCTGTGAGGCAGAGGTTGCAGTGAGCCAAGACTGCACCACTGCACACTCCAGCCTGGGCGACAGAGTGAAATTCCATCTCAAAAAAAAACAAAAAACAAAAAACTTCTAAACTTTTTATAAAGTCAGAATCATGTTTATATATGTAAAAAAAAATCTGTTAAGGATATCAGAAGTACACACGAACCTATAGGCCAATCTCACTTATGAGATCTACGGAGAAAATACTAATATTAGCAAATGGAATCCCCAGCAGCATGTTACCACTACAATGCCACAACCAAGGGGGAGTCTTTCCAAACACACAGTAACTTACCAACTAACAGGTCAAGGAAGAAAAACCATATGACAATCTCTCTAAGATGCTGAAATAGAATGTATCAATTCTACATTCGCTTCTGGGGAAAAAAAAAAAACCTTTAAAGTCAAAGTACATGACTAGTTCCTTAACAACTAAAAAAACAGTGCCTCAAGCAAAAAGGCACAATCACAGAAACATTAAAAGTTCTCATGGGCTGGGCGTGGTGGCTAATTCATGTAATCCCAGAATTTTGGGAGGCTGAGGCCAGCAGATCATGAGGTCAACAGATCGAGACCATCCTGGCCAACACGGTGAAACCCCATCTCTACTAAAAATACACAAACGGTACATGCCTGTAGTCCCAGCTACTTGGGAGGCTGAGGCGGGAGAATTGCTTGAACTTGGGAGGTGGAGGTCACAGTGAGCCGACATAGTGCCACTGTACTCCAGCTTAACCGACAGTGTAAGACTCTGTCTCCAAAAAAAAAAAACCACCGTATTTCCATTTACACTGCTGGCCATTCTTGTTCTTCTCTGTCAACACTATTAAAATTTTTGAGGAGGTACCATAATATAATTAGACAAGTGAAAGAAGTATAAAAATTGGAGACAGATCAGATGCAAGTTTTCAAGAAATTTAAGAGTCAACTGAAAAATCACTACAGACAATAATGATAAGGTGATCAAGTATGAAATTAAAATAAGCAACAAGGGCCGGGCATGGTGGCTCACGCCTGTGATTCCAACAGTTTGAGAGTGCTCAGGTGGGTGGATCACTTGAAATCAGGAGTTCCACACTTTTACACTGTTGGTGGGAGTGTAAATTAGTTCAACCATTGTGGAAGACAGTGTGGCGATTCCTCAAGGCCTTAGAAATAGAAATTCCATTTGACCCAGCAATCCCATTACTGGATATATATCCAAAGGACTATAAATCGTTCTACTATAAGGACACATGCACGCGAATGTTCACTGAGGCACTGTTTACACTAGCAAAGACCTGGAATCAACCCAAATGCCCATTGATGATAGACTGGATTGGGAAAATGTGGCACATATACACCATGGAATATTATGCAGCAATCAGAAATGATGAGTTCGTGTCGTTTGTAGGGACATGGATGAAGCTGGAGAACATCATTCTCAGCAAACTGACACAGGAACAGAAAATGAAATACCGCATATTCTCACTCATAGGCGGGTGATGAAAAATAAGAACACATGGACACAGGGAGGGGAGTACTAAACACTGGGGTCTATTGGGGGGAAAAGGGGAGGGCCAGCCGGGGGGGGGGGAGCTGGGGAGGGATAGCCTGGGGAGAAATGCCAAATGTGGGTGAAGGGGAGAAAGGAAGCAAAACACACTGCCATGTGTGTACCTATGCAACTGTCTTGCATGTTCTGCACATGTACCCCAGAACCTAAAATGCAATAAAAAATTTAAAAAAAAAGATTTAAAACAACAACAAAAAAAAGAAATCAGGAGTTCCAGACCAGCCTGACCAACAGGCTGAAACCCCATCTCTACTAAAAATACAAAAATTAGCTGAGTATGGTGGTGCACGCCGTAATCCTAGCTACTCAGGAGGCTGAGGCAGGAGAATTGCTTGGACCCGTAAGGTTGCAGTGAGCTGAGATCGGGTCACTGCATTCCAGCCTTTACAACAAAGCGAGACTGTCTTAAAAAAAAAAAGAAAAAAGAAAG